AATGGATAAATAAACTCTCAATGGACCATAGGAAGAATTCTTCCTTAAATTTCAACAAAAAGGTCAAGAAAAGAAAAATAATGTCACGAAAATATTGTTGATTTTTCTCTTAATATAATAAATATTTTACGAAATTTAAACTGAACAATATAAACGAACAAACATCGAAACAAAATATTCTTGCATCTTCATTTACTATATAAGTTTAACTAAAACATTGCTTTAATCTAATAGTATCCAATCGAATAGAAGAATCTTTCAAAATAGTAACCTAATTTCGTTACATTCGAACACTGATGAATTCAGAAATAATTCTCGAAATTTACAAAACATCGTAAGTGAGATAAAAATCTTTCAAATTTGGCCTGTAAATTCATTTTTTAACAAACTGAATAATTAAATAAAAAACTATATATCGACTCTAACCTTCTATAAAGACCTGTTAAACTACATGATGAGGACTCAGTTTCAATTAGCTTCATCATAATCGATCAACATGTTACTGATCGAAATCAGATACTCATTCATATACACTTCAATTGTCAAGAAAATTCTTTTAGAAGTAGAATATCGTCAACAATAGATCTATAAATTTACTAAATACTGATAGATAAGAGACTGGAATTTGGTTGCAACAATATGAATTTATTTGAGAAAAAATATTGTCTTTGATATAATTACCTATTGTTCATATTTTCTCTGCTTAATTGTATTCTATTTACTTTGAAATCATGTATTCTCATATACATGAACTTCTCTATTCGTAATTTACAGAATCACATGTAATAATTGCATCAATTAGATTTTGATGCATATTATGAAAACGTTTTTATCGTCTATCATAGACAAGATTAATTCGTATAAGAATTTTTACATAAAAAGTTCATCTTCTTAAAAATTTCAATGTACATGATCCAACATCGATTTTTAAAGCAAATAACTTTCATAACTTGTCTCTTCCCGTCAATGAGTTTTGTATTTTATATTGATAAAATCTTGAATATCAACAATAATAATTGATTTTGTCACGTGTAACTCAAATTAACCGATGACCATGACGAACAACTTTCAACGTTTGTTGAATATAAACAAAAAGAAACATTTCTAATTGCAAATAAATGTCATCCAAAGAGTCAGTTGTTGATTCTATTACTACAATTCGTGGTAAGGTCGAACATGTATATTCAATTATAGCGTAGTATAAAACGGATGTTATACAGATAAGATATATCAATAATAAGTTTTGATGTATTAATCATCACAATCATGAGTACAAGAAAACGCTATCAACTCATACAAAAAAAAGTGTTCGAAATTCATGAAAGAATTCTTCCGTTGAATTATAGTTTTTTAGCTAATGCATATAATATCTGTTTAGTGTATATATATGAGAACATTTTGAAGCATTTTCTTTATTCATAAAAGCACTTCAAATAAAAGAAGAAAAATGTTTCTATCATATCATTTGTTCTGAACGTCATACATATGTAAATATCAGTTTGTTGATTTAATGAACACTGATGTGATTTTAAAAATAAAACTTCTGTGACTTTTCCTATTACTATTTTTTTTAGTATAGACTGGAATTTTTCTGTTGTTGAGTTTCTGTTGATATACTAAATATATTATTTAATTATTGTAACGATAAAAGGAGAGATGATGATGTAATGACAGACTGGAGGAGTAGCTTACCGCCACCCTCGATAATGATGTTTATTAGCTACTTCACATCTCCAGAATGTGTCTATTGCACATTCAACACACACTTATATATGATACAGAAACAATGGGAGAGAGACGACACAGAGAGAACAATAGAGAGAGAAAGAGGAAAGAGGAAAGAAGAAGAGCAGCGAGCCGTGACGCATATATCGGCACACCCTCCCACTCAGATGAGACGCGCTCCTGAGCGTCTTTACAATTTAGAAAAGAAAAACAGAAACGATAAAAAATAATTAGATGAAAGAAAGAATACATCAAAACAAGTTCATTGATTGAACTTCATCGTAGAAAATACAGTCATACACGAACGACAATATCGACTTTCATACATAACTTCATATCAACACACGTCTTCACAGTATCATAGCATCGAGTCACGAACACAGCAGTCAAGAAAAAGAGGAACAAGCTTTTTAAAGGAGTGATCATCACATTTCAAACTCATAAATTCGGCAACACCTTTCAAATATAAATAGAAGATCAGTCAACACGAACACGGCATACAAATAATGATCGTCACAGCTTCAATCATCACACAAAAAAAAAAATTTTGACAGAACATACAGAAATGAAACAATATAGAAATATAGAATTCATAACACGCATATGATCAGTCACACTTTTTCGCACATTTTCACATTCGTAGGACGCAATGTCGAACAACAACACATATCAATTTTAGAGAACGAGAAAAAAAACACAAGTCATCGGTTACACAATCTTAGTATAATTTTAACCATAAGTAGACATAAATATTCTAATTCATACAGGATAGAAACTCTTGTCTAGTGCATAAACGATACCTAGAACGGTTTCTTGTTTTGTCTTACTTACTAGATTATTACAAAAACGAACACATAGCTTATAGAAAAATATCGCATCATATTTCGATTATCTACATGATCGAACATAAAAGATTACCATTTAACCCATCTTCTATTTATGTTTCGCCGAAGAAGAAGAGAAAAAAAATTCACACTTTCTAATCAGTATCATCACTATAATTACTTTCGTTTTAAATTCTTCACTGGCTTCAGGCCTTTTAAGGATAACATCTTCATTTAATTTTATGTTTCTTCTAATATTTGATTGTTACGCATCGTTAGTTAGCAAGATGTTCAGCTGAATAACTGTTGGTGGTGATTGACAACACGAAGTGAATATTGATGATGAATGAATATCAATTGTTTACAGCTGATACACAATCAATTTCATGTTCATCGATATCCATTTGTTCTGTTGCTGCTTCTTTTTTTTTTTATTTTGTTTTGGCAGAGAAAATAAATTTGAATTACGTGAGAAATGACTCAGGGATTCGAGGAGAAATGACATGAAACGTACAGATATTACAAAGGAAAGTGCGCCAACCCTACGCACTGCCGGCCCGCTATCTAGCCGCCCTTTAGTACGTCCACTGATGGTCTGTGACAGTGCCCCACAGACTTAAAACACTGCCATGTCATTCAACTCTAATCGCCGCATGCATTCATCACTCATTCAAATTATTTATCATACCTTGATATTCACTTGTATCTTCAATGGAAGTTTGATAATTTTGAATTCTTCTTGATTCTGGAATCTTCCAACTTCGTTTCAGAATATGCATGTATTCGCTCGCCAGGGTCGACATGTAACGATAAAAGGAGAGATGAGATGATGTAATGACAGACTGGAGGAGTAGCTTACCGCCACCCTCGATAATGATGTTTATTAGCTACTTCACATCTCCAGAATGTGTCTATTGCACATTCAACACACACTTATATATGATACAGAAACAATGGGAGAGAGACGACACAGAGAGAACAATAGAGAGAGAAAGAGGAAAGAGGAAAGAAGAAGAGCAGCGAGCCGTGACGCATATATCGGCACAATTATGTCTTTACATATCATGTCTCATGTATTAATAAACTAGATATTTACGTTAATTTCTCACTTGCTAAATTAATCTTCATATGTAATATTAACATTCATTGATATTATTTTATTAATCAATTTAGAAGTTAATATAATATTCAATTTATCATAATATTATATAATATGAAGTAAATAATGCACTGATTACATATTTTTCAATCCTGAAGACAAAAGAACAACACATGATACTGATAAAAAAAGAGCAAACAATATGTTGTTTTTGTTTAAAAATACGAACACACAAAAAAACCCATATGACTTGTCTTATCATTATTTACTCTGAAGTTTAAGTACTAAATATAATTTACTTCTAATAGTAGTCAGTTTACGCATAATAATATTGTTAAATTTGGCAAATCTCTTTATCTTGAAAGAATTTATGCATAAAAGACGTTCAAGAAAAGTGAAAGAGACAAGGTTAACTACATCCGAACATGTAGTACGATTTATTTGTCATTTTTCACCAAATTTTCCAGTTCAATATGTTTTAGTGAACATGTTCAAGAAGATAATTTCTTAAAAGTATATTTGATTACATTGGATTTTTCTAAAGTAAGTTTAGAAACTGAACGCCGAAAGAGGAGAATCAGTCACAATGGAGATTTACGGAGAGAAGAGAAATCAAAAACATGCCATTTTACTTAAGATCAACTAGTTCAGTTCTAGTTTGGATTTGAAAAACTATTGAAAACATGTGCTGAGCTGATTAGTTTGAAAAAAATCTCTTTCTCTCATTTCATCTAAGGTTTGAATTAGGAGATGATCGATCCGTAAACATTTGTGACATACGATCTAATGAGAAAATTGAATGTCTCGCCTTCTAACAAATGAACCACTTTCTTATTTTGTTTCATATTTTAATTTCGCAGCTATTACGCTAACAATTAAGGAATGATCGATATTCTATATGATGATTTTTAAATAAAAACAAATGTCTCATAGTACATTTTAGCTTATCGTCATATTTTACGTGTACTTTCGCACTCAAAATATTCTTTTTTTTTGTTTTTGCTGTTGTTTTATCAAACAAATATAGAATGTCTAGTGAATATAATTAGTTTCATAATATTCAAAAGATTGCTCGTTCTTTTTTTCAAATATCGAACGTTGTTAAATCTATCTCTAAGAAGAAAAAAAAAAAGCTTCGTTTATTACATTCATAAATAATTTAAATAAAGAAGAAAAAAAAATCAACTTAAAAACATTACATATGTGATTTTGTAAATCATTAAAAAAAATATTCGTTTTTTTATTTTTTTTTTCTTTCTTTCTTTTTTGTTTGTCTCTTTTTCATATGCATAAAAAACAAACCGATAAACAATGACTAGTTGACAAATAAAATCAAAATTCTATTCTCAATATTAATGTTCAGAATCTTGAATATCATTCATATTCAATGAACGTTGTCTTTCATATTGTCCTATCGATCTTCTTCCATCATTATTTCCATTATCATTATAAACTTCTTGCCAAATATCAGCAAGACATACACTTGAATGAAAACGATAAAATATTGATAATGGTGATGTAAATGCTTGAATAATAGCCCATGTACCAGCATCATAATATTCTACTTGTATGGGATTTAATCTTACTTTTTTTGCCGATAATGAATCATGTAACCAAATAGCTAAAAATAAAATAAAGATGAAATTTTATTATTAAAAATAAATGAAAGAAAGAAACATTTTCATTCTTTTTCTTTTACCAAGATTTATTAATAATAAAGCTGTAATTGTTTCTCGTCCTGGTTTATTTCTAATTTCAATTTTTGTTTTTACATGTCTTTTTAATGTATCCAAAATAAAACCTGTTTGTAAAAATGTTTGAAGTATAGCTAAAAATCCAATTGATATTTCAATACCAATTGGTAATTCATTTTTAGGTCGAACAACAAATATTGATGCAAATAATCCAAAAAATGAATATGCAAAATCACCAAATGTTGTTATTAATATTAATACACGATCAAATGCATCAACATGTCCATTTGGATTATGATAAAGTTTTGTTGTATGCATAAATGACATACAAACAATAAATAATGAAACAATAAGTAGAACAAGTTCAGTTATATGTGTTACTGTTATTGCATCATTATCAAGTAGATATGTTGGTATAAGTGTTAAAATTGTTAATAAAAGTATAATACCACCAATAAGTAAACCACGTGATGCACGTGCACAATTAACTGTAAATATATGACGATCACCAAAACGTAAAAATGATGGTTCTCGAGTTTTACCAACATTTCTCCACATAAGAAAGAATATAGTTAATGATATAAGACTATATTCTATTAAACATGGATATAAATAAACATTTACAGCTGATTCAATTCGTTTTATAATATCAAGTGTATTTCTGTTTAGACCGGTTCCACTTTGAGTAGTAGCAGACATTTCTTTAATAATATTCGTCAAACTATTATTAGTAATATTATCATCTATCCATGTAACTTGAAATAAAAAGAAAAATTATGATAAAAAATTATTTTTTAAAAGAAAACTATTTTGAAATCTATTACTATTCGTTTATAATTAGAAATGTGTGAAAATCAAGTTTTTTCTGGTTTCGAGTTCTACTCTCGGTTCGACAAAACTATTTCAGGTTTTATTTGTATTACATCTAAAACAAAATTCTTGATTATTTTTATTGATTCAGTTGACATCTAGTACATTTTTGGGTCTTCTTTCTTAACTTATGTTTTGATTGATATGATTTATATGATAATTTGTTAAAAACCCTAGAATAGTTAACTATAATCTTCAGTTTTGGTTAGGACAACCAGTGGTGTAACCAAGGGGGGGGGAGAGGAGCAATTGCCCATTGTAATTTTTATTAATAAGTTTTTTGCCCATTGAAATTTCACCTTTTAGGGACAGCGCAAGCGGGATAGGAAATTTTTGAAATTTAGGTGGGCCCTGAGGAAAGGTACGGAGATCTTCGCGAAGCTACTCCCATCTCCCCGGTCATCAGTTTTGAAAAATTGGGAAATTTGCACAAGTTACTTCTGGAAATCTTTTTTTTTTTGGAGAATCGAAAAAATGACAAATGATGACATGGAGGAAGGAGTTCAAAATATGATGACTTTATATGTGTCCAAGCCTATCAATACTTTGTTGGTCCAAACAATTTTTGACCTATCAATAAAACATGTGCCCGTTTTTGCCCATTGGTCTAAAAATCCTGGTTACGCCACTGAGAACAACTTTTTTCTTTCACTATCAGTCTTAGTGAACTTTCAAATTTTCGTCCCGTACATCTCTATTCATGACATTCTACTAGTCTTCAATCAAGAACTACTGTCGTTAGTTGTTTGTTGAGATGATTATCTTGATTAAAACCTACTTTTGAATCTAGAATTTACTAAGAAAAGGAGTAAGAGAAAGTCGTCCTCCTGATTCACTGAAGAGAAGCTTATATTAATACAATGGGGAACAATGGATTAAGATTGTCTTTATGTTCATCCTAAATTATAAGTACATACAATCGAATGCACAAGTGATTTTGATAATTTATAAGATATGAGATTGTGAGAGAGAAGAACATTAGTATTATTACGTGATAATTGCTTTTTGCTGACTCATGCTGAAATAATCAACAAAAAAAAATAGAATGTGTTATTTACGATCTGAAATTATATCTATAAACAAATTTTACAGTGCGTTAAGAGCGCAAAATAAGATTCGAATTAAATAGTCAAAAGCCTGGATGAAGATCCCTAGACCATAGCTCATTTGATCGTTCTTAGTCTAATTAAAATTCATTTTCATGGGTTATATGAAATTGCTGCTCGTGCATCTGTTATAGTGATTTCTTTTTAAATTATACTAATGTTTCACATTATGAACAAGAAAATATATATTTGGGTGGAAAGTTTTAAAAAATTTCAATGTTTAAAAGTCCTCTATTTATATATGGAACTTCATAACCATAATGCTCCATACCATAACATATGTTACTAAAAGATGTATGACGATGACTGAGTTTTTCTCAACACACAAAAGTATAGATCAAATATGTTAAATATTTGTATCTCTCACTTAACAAATCCTATGTTTTTATATACCAGAAGTTGTGATTGTGGTCGAGTATGTCATATTTGTCATATAACTTGATGACGTAATACTCTCTGGAGGTTTGTGCAATTGTTCCAATGTTTCGAATACAATAGCTAAAAGATGTAAGATTCATTTTGTTTTTTTTTTGAATAAAATTGTATTCTTACCTTCAAACCATGTACAAAAATTAGCAATTATTAAATGAATAAGACCTATTTTAGCTATATAACGATAACGATTAATTACAATCTAGATATAATAGTAAAAAAAAAACAAAGAAGTACAAATTTCTTATTCAATTTTAATAATCATATACATACATTTCCATATCGAAATAAAAATGTAAATTGTACACAATGAAAAAAAAATCGAAGTACATAAGTCATTGATTTTGTTACTACAACTGATGAAGGATATGAAACGACTGGTGAAGAACGAGTGTTTGGAGAACTTCCTGTTGCAATTGTTTTTGCTAATTCAATCACAGTTAAAATTAGAGTACCCATACAAAATACTAGAAGAAAAAAAATAATAATAATGACATCTTTTATTTATTTGATTTTATTTTTAACACTTACATCCGGCACCAATTCTCATAAATAATCCACCAGTATTATGAATATCAGGAAAATAAAACATTTTATGTGTATGACGTTCAGTTATATCCATATATTCTTCATTACTATGAGCAGGTGCTGTTAATTCTCTCCATTGTCGACGAAATTTAATTATATCAAACGTACACCATACCATCCATACAATAGAAACAAGATAAACATAACTATAAGCAATCTAAAAATATAAAACATAATCACAGAATAGAACGAAATTAATTTATACCTGCATAGTTGTTCGAAGATTTGATTCATCTTCTCGTATAGCTAAAACAAGTACCATACAAAGAATAAAAACAACAAGTAAAGCACCAGTTTCCATCACAAAATTTGAAATTGGTAAGAATCTTTTAGGTGTATATCTATGAAAAACAATAAATATATATATATATATATCATTAATTAACATAAGAATATAACTAACGTTTGTGTTTCATCATGAATAACACGTCGTTGTTGTGCACGATATACTAGAGCAGAAGTTGGTGGAGGTAGTGGTGGTGGTAGTGGAGGTGGACGATTAGAAGAATGAACTAATTTATTTCCATTTTGTTCTTCATTTTCATTTCGTTCATATTGTGTAATAGTAAATGGTGCATTTTGAGAATTACTACGACGGTTATATTCTTCTCCATAAGGAGTCATAAGATTTCGTCGATTTGCTGGAATTGGTGAAGGTATTTCTAAACCAACACTATCACTTTCAAGTTCAGTATTTCTTGATTGATTCTAAAATAAAGATATTTTCTAGATAATTTTATCATAAAAATATATTTATTTTATTTTTTTACTTTTGATTTTTCATCTCGTTGTCGATGAACATTTTTTGTTCGAATATTATTATGAGTTTGTATTGATGATGATATTGGAAGTTCTTGAGAAATAACAACTGGTTTAGTATAAGGTATAAATTTTCCGAAATCTTCAATATCATTTTCATATTGTAATTCATATAAATCATTTTCTTCATTTTCATGTTGATATTGATCAAATTGATTATTACTATTTACATAAAATGAATCATTGTTTACATCTAAATATCAACAAATGAAATTTAAATAGGATAAATATTTTTTTTTTCAATTTGTAAATACTTTGTTTAACTTTTGAATAATCGATAGTAGTTGATGGAATTGGTGGTGGTGCTCTTCGAGGACGATTTTTTGGTTCTGATTTTTTTTTTGTTTTTGATATTCGAGGAGAAATTATTTTCGTTGATGAATTCTTAGTTGATATTTCTTGTGATCGTGATCTTATTCGTTCTATTGGTTTTGAACTAATTATTTTGTTACTATTTGTTGAATGAATTGATGAATTTATTGATGATGTAGAAGTTTCATTTTCATGATTATTTCTGATTGGAACAGTTATAGGAGGACGTGGTGGTGGTGGTCGTATTACTGGTGGACGAGGAGGTAGAAATGCTGAAGATAAACCATTAGATTTTTCAATCATATCAAATTTACGAACTGCATGACGAACTGGAGAATAATTTTGTTTTAGAAAAGAACGTTCATCATTATGATTATTTATTATTCTTGATGTTTGTTGCAATGTAGACGGTGTAGAGAAATGAGACATTTTAAGAAACACTTCAATACTTAAATTTTAATGTTATTTTGATAATAGAACATGTTTGAATATGTCGCTAATATGCAAACACCTTGGTTGCCAATGACAAGAAAAAAAAGAAAAGAAAAAAATCTTGTACTTATCATTTCGTTGCACTGCTTATTGATATCATATCTTTTTTTTCTTTTCAACATGAATTACGTAGGCGAAACGCTTACTCAAAAGTATATTCATTTCATTTATTTATTTATATAAAATTGCAATATTTACATGAATAGATGACTATGCGTAATATACATCATTTCCTGATTAGTCATTTGATAGGAAGTCATATTGTTATTATTGGTTGATACAAGTGTATTTTTTTAATCTAACTTTATAATTATATTGTTTTTTTGTTATTGATTAATAAATATTTATTTTACTATGTATTCATGACATTTTGCATACATTTTTAAGATTGGATAATTTATTAAACTAATAAACGAAATGAATTAGCAAAATCTTTTATTACAAAGAAATAAAGCGTAAATAAATTGATCTAGTTTGTTTAAATTTAAATATGAATGATATACAATTATGACATAATTATTTGAATAGAACATATGTTCGATTATTGTTTTTCAACAAGCTTTAAATTATATGATAATATAAGAACATTATGTAAATACTAATGTCATACTATTGATAGAGTCATTACTATGTTAGTTAGAGACTATTATTATGTCAAAGAATATTTGTTTTGTATAAATTGAACGACTTTCATTAAATTCAAAAAGGGATATAATATTTTTTTTTTTATAAATAAAATTTTAAATGTATTAAGCCGAATGATCTTAGAAAGTTTTGTTTAATATTTCATTTTCAAGAATAAATGGTGATAGACTTGCTTATTTTGTCTAAAAAGTTTGCCAATTAAAGAGAGCTTTAGTGCTTTAATTTGTTCAATATTAGTTAAAACTAATAGTATGACTATTAGTTTTACCAGAATTCATCAAAAATTTTGGTAAACAAGCAAGTGCCAAGAAAAACAACATGTCATTTATGCAAAGTCAAGTATGGAGCTATTTTGCGACACATTTATCTTAATCTTCATTTTTCCTTTGACGATGATTGAATTTTATTTTTTGAGAGAGTGAATGGCCTTAAGATATATAGGTGTGCATAAAACATATTAGAGAAAATCTATGAGTATCCAACTAGTTTTTGAAAGACAAGACTTTTTAATGGATTTTATTGTGCTAGCTTTGGTCGAAGAACGCTGCCAGCAAGCCTCGCCAATGTTTCCAAACTTTTAAGTTCATATTTTGCTCAATAGCAGATGACATGCAACAAGGAGTAGCCCCTCAACTGGTTCAAGACCTGTGAGTCAGAGCTATGTAGATCATGTAAATTCTAATGAGCTATAAATATCCTGCAATGAACTCATGAGAAACTAGAATTTCGGCCCACGGACTTTTTCTCCTGAGTTTGAGCTCGAATCGAATTTCTGGTGATTTTTCGAACTGGGTTGAAAATCCTAGAGGAATTTCAAACCGTGGCCTCATTGATCCCTAACATAAAAAACTTAATTTTTTAAATTAGTTGCTGCATATCGCAGAGATGGAACCGGTCCAGACCAGTAAAACTGGCTTACGAATAATACATCGATTCTTACAGTGAAACTTCTTTTTAATGTATCTCTTGCCAGTTACAAACTTAGCTGATGATTCAGAAATATCATAACAATTGCAACGTGATGCTGTTGTTCAATACGGCAGAAATGGAACTGGTCCACTTTTTTCTCGGACCGGAGCGGCCGGTATACCGGTAAAAACTGGTCTAACCGGTTTACCGATCGAAACCGATTTACCCGAAAAAGTTGATCTGACCGGGTCTATCGGCCAAAACTAGCCTACCGGTACTAAACAGGATGCTGATGATACGTCATTTTATAAGAGAAAATCCGACCTACGGACAAAATATCGATCTACAGACAAGAGACTGAGGCTTGAAATGAACCGTGTTTCATAGTGAATTCGCTTGCGAGCTATTTTTGTACTTTCACGCATACTGGCATAATGTTTCACTGTTGATAACAATAGTCTCATTGGTTAGCATTCCGAAAACTGTTTGTTAAATAAATTTCTGTGTGATCAGTGGGACTAGTCTTGGTGCCAGTGGTTTTTTCATATGAATACCATCATAAAGCAGGAAAGTAGAAAATATAGACCAGTTTAGACCGGTCAGACCATTTTAGACCGATCGATCCAAAATCCAGACCGGTACTGGACCGGACCGGCCAGTTACCCGTACCGGTTCCATCTCTGGCATATCGTATTCTCCAGCAGGATGTTATAATGGATCTGGAACGAAGATGCGGGTGTGGTGTGTGGAAATGTCTGGGTCTTCTTTTAATTGACACTCATACCAATTATGATGTCTTGCTCAGCACTACGAGGTCTAGCTACTAATTAAGACAATTAAGTTTTTTATGTTAGGGGCCAATCAGACCACGGTTCGGAATTCTTCTACGACTTGTGACCGAGCCGAAAATTCTATGGGCTGAAATTCATATCGTTAGCTTATTGCTATGGAGCTATTGGGTTTTTTTTTAAATCGGAACGGTGACCCTTCTCAGAAATATCAGAAAAACTGATATTCGAATTTATACTTGAAACTTTTTGATCTGCTCCTATCTTAAACTAAAAACATGGAATCTACCAAGACATATGCGTGGTGCAAAAGACACATTTTTATCATAGCCATATCTTAAGATAAGAGCAATAAAACGATCAAAAACTTTCAAAACAAACTTCTCTCATTAAACATTTTTCTTGGTACAAACTTTCAAGTCGAAATTTGAAAATCAGTTGTTCTGGTGTTCTTGAGAGGGAATCACACCTATGACTTAGAAGTACCGTCAAAATGTAGCATTCCCACGGCAATAAGCTAAGAGTCCAAACTCTTTTAAGAATATTTATAGCTCATTAGAATCTTCCTAATGTACATAGTCTCCATCAGATTCTTCTCTTTATTCGGATTTGATGAAGATATAAATATATCAAAACGCATAGGATTTTGATTGTTTTTATCAAAATATTGTATTTTGAAACACTCATATCTCGTTAGAATCTTAATGAAAGGAAAAATCGATTGGAGATTGTACTGATTCAGATATCTCCTATTCACTAGTCGAAATATGAAATAAAAGTGTGGATATTTGTTTCTGTGTGCATTCATACAACAAAATTTATCAATAAAGCATTTTTATAGCAACTAATGTGAGAAAATTACGCGAAATAATCACTTCTGTTCATTGTCAAACAGTAAAGATCATCGGTATATGGGATTAATTAGAAAGTCTTTTCTCGCCATATTTCAGCCAGTTTATCATTGCAAAAAAGACACTCATTTTATCAGACCTGTAGCATTTCATCAATACTTTTGAAACTAAAAACTTCGTATGTGTTCTAAATTTAATGGTAGAAATCATTGACACATAATATCATGTGATATTCTATAAATGATACGAGGATGAATGTATACGAAACCTCTTGATCATCAATTTTTAATTTGAATTCGAAGATATTTCTATAGTTTTCTTCAGAATTTAATTGCTCTATTGGAGAATATTTAAATTAACTATGAAATCAAATACATATTCTTTTGAATTATGATTAATTTTTGTCTCTCACTGTAGCTCCTATAATTTCCCAAAAATAAGTAAAAATTCGATTGATCAAGCTGAAACTTAAAAGAACAATAATAAAATTTATATTTTACCATTAATTAAAATTTCATATTAAACTACTTTGACTTTCTAAATGAGCCAAAATTGTCCCAACCTCCCGCCCCTTCTCTTTTTATTTATTTCATAGACTCGTTTGAACAAATTAGTTTTTATAATTTCTACCACCATATATACATATTTTGATCCAAATATTCTAATACATAATCATCTAGAAATGCATCTAGATTCATTTTTGTTCGTAATTTTTTCACTGTCGTATAATTAACATCTCGAAAACATATTGAAGAAAGATGATGATTACATGGTGATCGAAATGAATTCAAATTTTGATTTTTCATACAATGTATACAAGCTGAATATTCTTGTTGCCATAAAATAATATTTTTCATATATGAAGATATTGATAAACGATTTTGACAATTTCGATTTGTATTTATTCGTAATAAAAAATGTAAAATTAATTCTATATTATCTTTATCGGTTTGTATTTCAAGATTATGTATATATGGACAAAATCGATTAAGTATTTGAATATCTTCTAAAGTACATTGATTAATAAGATTAATATTAATAATATTATATTTATTGAATATTAAACGTTTTGTTTCAGATTGTGGTGAATATAAATAAAGTATACTTGTTGGAATTGTTAATGATTGTATATTAGGATAATGATCTAAAAATAATTGTAATTGTTCTAATCGTATACTATTATCAGAAATAATTAATGTTCTAAGTTGTATAGGTAAAAATATACGAGTAAGATCAAATATAAATGAAGGACTTTGATTTATATTATCTCCAGAAAGTATCAATTGATTAATTCGTGGAAATTGTATTGAATATGAAGTTATTGATGAATAATTATGAAGATCAACTTCATGAGCTAAATTTACACCAGTTTCATTATATTGACATCGATCTTCATAGAAATCATAATGATTCCATCTATATAAAAGAAAAAATTCATTAAGTCTTTTCTACAAATAAAATACTTCAAGAAGAAATTTTATGAAGTGCTCCGAACTTGTTTTTAAGAGGTAAAAAAAACAAAAAAAAAAGATTTTCTCTAAACTATGTTTGCTCGGATATATTGGTCACTACCGTACAAAAGATAAGCATTCTATGCAAGAATCGAATTGTTACACTAAAATGAAAGCTTATCACTTATGCAAGTTTTTCTTAGCGACGAAAATCAAAAATTTTCTTGCTTAGAAAATTCAATTTCTGTAAAGCAAAAAAAAATGCATCTAACAATGTATTCAAATGTGTTAAT